TCTCTTATAGCCACGCCTACTCCGATTGCTCTTTTTGCCTCGAACACGGCTCCATCAAAATTGACCTTTAAAGAGCCTATGTTTGGGGGGAACCACAGAGAGGTGGCCTCTATTATTGCTGGTGCCAAGACAATGCACTCTGATGCTTGTTCATATTGTGCAATATATTCAGTTGCTTTATAAGTTAATGATGCAGGGTTTCTCTTCAAATTCTGAAAGAGAATTTCATTTTTATTCCTCCAAATTAACCAACAATGGACCAAGAATAGGGAGAAATGATATGGGCTCATCTGTTGCGACATTTCCCACAGCCAACTATAGATTTGGCTTGTAAAACGCTACAACAGGTAGGTTAGTGGACTAGATTCTCATGAGTTGTTGGCCCAAGCACATTTCTTCACCATATGCATCACAGTTTCAGCTTCCTTTCCATAAACACAACATATATCATCCATTCAGATCCTTCTTCGCATAAGATTTTCATTAGTAGGGAGAGTATTCGTCGCCATTCTCCAAGCAAAAATTTTAATTTTATTTGGTAACTTTTGATTCCAAATGAAATTTCAGTTATTATGTTCGATACCTGAGGATGTAGAAGCAACTTCAGGATTCGTTGAGCGAGCCAGATTTTGATCAAATGTGATATGATATGCACTTCGGACAGAAAATCTGCCTTTCGAATCATAATGCCATATGAGCTTATCTTCCATTAATGAGGAACACAAGAGAATTTGCTTGATCGTCTCCGCTTCGTGGCTTAGAAAAACTTCATTGATCAAACTTTCCTTCCACTGTTGAGTTGTTGAATCAATAAGATCCTTGACTGTGGCCTCGTCATGCAGGGTATTCTTAGGAGTAACAACCTTAAAAGTTGTTGGGGGTAGGAATCCACCTATCATGCCAAACCTTAATTTTGGACCCATCGCCAATCCTCCATCTAGATCCAGCTTCTAAAACTCTCCTAGCTTCACAAATGCTTCTCCATGAGTATGAGGGTCTATATCCGAGCTTAGCAGTCATAAACGAATCATTCGGAAAATATTTGGTTTTCAACACTTTATGAAGAAGGGAATTGGTTTTATAGTGAATTCGCCAAGCTTGTTTGGCTAGCATCGCTAAGTTGAAAGTTCTCAAGTCGCAGAAACCCATACCCCCTTTAGTTTTGCTTTTACACAATTCTGCTCAATTCACCTGGTGCTTACTTATTCTTTTTAGTTTAAGTTTGATGTTAATTCATTTTATATTTGTATTATAAATAGTGTTAATAGCATTACTAATGTGATGCGATGAGATTATTGAGTTAAGTCATGTTTATTTACATAAAAATCTGATTCTATAAGTTGTACACACAAGTCAATATTGTTTAGGGATCATATTTTCAAAAGAAATTATGACGACATTTTTTAAAAATAATAGTTGGGACATACCAACTTTTAAAATTTTGTTTGATATAATAGTTATTTTGATTTGAGTGTGTTATAGGTGGTGTAGAATTGTGATATACACCAAGTTGGATGTGGCTTGGGCTATTGTTTTTTTTTACATAGTGTCTTCAGGCACGGGTAACTTTTAATTTATTTGTAGCTTTTTTTTTTTTTTTTTCTGAGAGGGAGGGGGACTTGAACCCTTGGTTTCAAGAAGGTTATAACATAATTTATATCTATATATAGATTATGAATATTTTGTCTCCCTCTCTCTCACATACATATAAATAGTAACATTCAAAATTCAAAACAAAAATAGTAGATTCAAACACAAAAAATACTAACATTTTAAAAACAAAATATAGTAACATTGAATATTAATATTTTGAAAAATAACATATATAACAAAAAAAAATAGCATCATGATAAATAAAATAATAATAACATAGAACATTGAACAAAATTGGTGGTCAAACAACACGAACAATGATGCATTCAAACAGTAAAATAATAACATTCAAAAACAGAAAAAAAAAAAGTAATATTCAAAAAAGATAGTAACATTGAACATTTAACAAATATAGTAATATTGAACATTGAATAAACAAAAAACAGTAATACGCTCACTATAAAAAGTAGTAACATAGAACATTAAACAAAATTGAGGGGTTAAAACTAGTAAGAGTAAAAATAGACTTATCTCTAAATAAATTTTTTTGATGTATTAAATTTATTATAAATTTCTTAAGAAAGAGTCAACTCCAATTTTCACAAAAATTTATACCTAAAGTTGTTCACGACTTCACGTTCAAAATTTATCTTACTTACCGAGGAAAAAAAAAGGACTTCACGTTCAAAATTGCTGGTGCATTACCTGTAAAATAACAAAATATAAAAAGGATAGATCATTCTAGATAACTCAGTGTGAGTTATTGGATTAAGATCTCCAATTCACCGGATAACTACTTGTCCAATAATTCTTAGAGGTGGTGAAGTGATTGAGTCTGATTTTTAATAACATACAAATTTTATGTTCAATTTTTTCTTATACTCCCTAAGAACTAGTTATTCTTATCTTTTTAGGGATATCATTTATCACAGTGACCAACCGTTAAGTTTGAAAAAATAATCGAAACAAACTTAAACACCATACAAAAAAAATACTATTATAAGTTAGAGAGACGTAGGGTGGGTTGCGTGCTCCGAAAAGAAAAAGGAAAAAAAAAACATAAAAATGATATGTTAAAAAACAAGGACAAAAAAGTAAAAGAAAATTTTAAATCACAAATCTTTTAGTTTATCATACCTAAAAGGACACCCTTTCTATTATTTAAAATATCACTGATATTCCTTCTAATTTATATTTAAACATCATTGACACCCTTGTTATTAGACCACCATTTCTAACAAAAAAAAATTCAGCTAAAATACCAAAATTTCCCCTATATAATCCCCAATTAATCTTTCAATATAAAATTCAATTCGACCTGATTAAAATTTATTTTTTTATATATTATAATTTGAGTTGATTAAAATTCGATTCCATTTGATTAAATTTTATTTTTTTTATGTATTAAAATTTAAGCCTATTAAATTTTTTTTACATTAAAATTCGAGCCGATTTGAGTTCTTCTTAAGTTGTTAGTGTCAGTTAAAATTTGTTTCAAATCGATTAAAATTTATATTTTTTTACTTATTAAAATTTGTGTTAATTAAAATTTAGTTCAAGTTGATTCAATAAAATATAATTTTTAATTAACTTAAATTTTAATGTGTAAAAAATAAATTTTAATTATTTCGAATCAAATTTTAATTAGTTCGAATTTTAATTTGTAAAAATATTTAAAAAATAAAGAGAGTCTGATTAAAGATATGTCAATTTAGAGGGAGTGTGAATAAAATTTTTCCTAAAATATATCATTAATAAATTAGTAAAATTATATTTTAATTAACACTTTTAATCTACTATAGTGTGATAGTGAAGATTCTTAAAATAATAGGGGTGTCTTTAAAAATATGATAAATTAGAAGGGGTGTAATTGAAATTTTTTAAAAGAAAAAATAAGGACTTGTGGGAAAACGTTTTTCGAGGGAAAATAAGAGTTCCGTTGCCGGGAATCGAACCCGGGTCTCCTGGGTGAAAGCCAGATATCCTAACCGCTGGACGACAACGGATTCATGTTGTGCAATTTATTAAGAAACTATATTAATTAAATCTGGAACGTTGTATAATCCACTCCACATCGTCTTCGCCCCTCTGCTTAGTGGCACTAGACAAGCTTCGCAGACTATGCATCAACACGGAAATGGCTACGTCAATACAGCAATTTTGCTTGAGTTCCTTAACGACACAACCCACTCTCAAGGAATCCCAGAAAAACCCACCTGTCAAAATCTCAAAATTCCCTCGAAATCCTATCAAAACCCCTTCTCTCAAAGGTGTTTGCAAACAAGGAAACCTCGAAGAAGCTTTTTTAGCACTTGGCCATCTCTTCGTTAACCACAACCCAACTGAGGATTGTTTAGATGAAGCTTTTTCATCGGTTCTTGAGCTTTGTGCAAGTGAAAAAGCATTGTCACATGGCCAACAAATCCATACCCATATCTTGAAATCTAATAATACGTGTGATTCACTGTTTTTGAACACTAAGCTCGTGTTTATGTATGGTAAATGCTCGTCTTTAGTGGATGCTGAGAAGGTGTTTGATGGAATGTTTGACAGAACTATTTTTACGTGGAATGCCATGATTGGTGCTTATGTGACAAATGGGGAACCTTTAGGAGCACTGGAATTGTATCAAGAAATGCGTTTTTCAGGAGTTTCGCTAGATGCATTCACCTTTCCTTGCATTCTCAAGGCATGTGGTGGTGGGCTCAAGGATCTTATTCGCGGGAGTGAAATTCATGGTCTAGCAATCAAACTTGGGTTTATAACCAATGTGATTGTTGTTAATTCGCTTATGGATATGTACTCGAAGTGTGATGATCTCAATGCGGCTACGTTGCTACATAATAGAGTGAACGAAAGAGAAGATGTTGTATCATGGAATTCAATTATATCTGCTTATGCTGCAAATGGGAAGGCCATAGAAGCTTTGAGGTTTTTCACAGAAATGCAAAAGGCTGGTGTTCCCCCGAGCACATATACCTTTGTTGCTGCTCTTGAAGCCTGTGAGGATTCATCACTTGGTAAGCTTGGGATGGAGATTCATGCAGCTATTCTGAAATCCACTCTCGGATTTGACTTACACATGGCCAATGCTTTGGTTGTTATGTACGCAAGATGTGGTAAAATGGGTGAAGCTGCAATAATATTTGATGGCATGGATGAGAGGGATAATATATCATGGAACTCAATGCTATCAGGATTTGTGCAAAATGGTCTTTTTTATGATGCTCTGCAATTCTTCCATAAGATACATTATGCAGGTCAAAGCCCTGACCAGGTTACAGTCATAAGTATGGTCATTACCTCTGGTCGATTGGGAAATCTGTTAAATGGAAAGGAAATACATGCTTATGCTATAAAATATGGATTAGACTCTGATTTGCAGGTTGGAAACACTTTAATATATATGTATGCAAAGTGTTGTAAAATGAACTATATGGACTCTGTTTTTGATAGGATGCATTATAAAGACTTCATTTCTTGGACGACAATTATCATGGGCCATGCTCAGAACGATTGTCATTTAAGGGCCTTACAATTGTTCCGGCAGGTACTGGTCAGAGGCCTGGATGTTGATGCAACAATGATTGGAAGTGCCCTGCTGGCTAGTAGCGGGTTGAAGTGCATCTCACTTGTAAAAGAGATTCATGGTCATGCTTTGAGAAGAGGTGTATATGATCGTGTCTTACAAAATTCAATTGTTGATGTTTATGGAGAATGTGAAAATGTAGGTTATGCATCTCATGTATTTGAATCTATTGAATTTAAAGATGTTGTGTCTTGGACAAGCATGATGTCTTGTTATGTCCATAATGGACTTGCAAATGAGGCTCTTGACCTTTTCATCTCTATGACAGAAACAGCTGTTGAACCTGATTCTGTTGCTTTAGTGAGTGCACTCTCTGCTGCCGCAGATCTATCTGCCTTAAGGAAAGGCAAAGAGATTCATGGGTTCTTGGTTAGAAAGGGCTTCATTCTAGAGTGTCCCATTGCAAGTTCTCTAGTGGATATGTATGCCTCTTGTGGAACAATAGAGAACTCATATATGATATTTAATTATGTTGGAGACAAAGACTTAGTTTTATGGACTAGCATGATAAATGCATGTGGAAGGCACGGCCATGGTAATGCAGCCCTAGATATATTTAGACAGATGGTGGGTGAAAATGTTCGTCCTGATCATATTACTTTCTTGGCACTTCTTTATGCATGTAGCCATTCAGCACTGGTTGATGAAGGCAGAAGAGTTTTTGAGATAATGAAGAATGAATATAAGTTGGAGCCATGGCCAGAACATTATGCCTGTCTGGTTGATCTGCTTGGTCGGGCAAATCACTTGGAAGAGGCTTTTGAGTTGGTGAAAAGCATTGAAACAGAAGCTTCTGCAGCTGTCTGGTGCTCTCTCCTCAGTGGTTGTCGGGTTCATTCTAACAAAGAATTAGGAGAATTTGCTATACAGAAGCTTCTAGAATTGGATCCAGAGAATCCGGGAAATTATGTACTGGTATCTAATGTATTTGCTGCAACAGGTAGATGGGAAGATGTCGAAGAAGTGAGAACTAGGATGAAGGGGAAAGGGTTGAGGAAGGATCCTGCCTGTAGTTGGATTGAGGTTGGTGACAAAATTCATACTTTCATTGCAAGGGACAGGTCTCATCCCCAATGTGATGAGATATACAAAAAGTTAGTTCAGATTACTGAGCAATTGGAGAGGGAGGGAGGCTACGTGGCTCAAACTAAGTATGTTTTGCACAATGTAGCTGAAAAAGAGAAAGTCAAGATGCTTTATGGCCACAGTGAAAGGCTGGCTATTGCATACGGCCTACTTGCGACATCCGAGGGAACCCCAATTCGGATCACAAAGAACCTTCGTGTTTGTGGTGATTGCCATACTTTTAGCAAGCTGGTTTCAAAATTCTTTGAACGCGAAATTATTGTGAGAGATGCCAATAGATTTCATCATTTTCGTAGTGGAGTCTGTTCTTGCGGAGATTTCTGGTGATAATTAGTAATATTGTTAAAATTTTTTGGAGATTGCTGATGACAGTCAAATATTGAGGTGAAATATTGGGATCACAAGGAATTGGCTGGTGATGACCGCCAGAGTCACTCAACATATTAATAGGTTTGCTTTGGCAACATTTACTTATCAGAGCTTCTCATTTAGTCTCCCAAACTGCCATATTCTCAGGCGGAGAACTGAAATTAGTGCATCATCGTTACTTTCAAACCAGATTTCTGTAGCCAATTTGGACTCAACTCCTCCCTGACATACTCAGAGACCTTCAGGATTCGGGCGATGCTTTCATCTGTTAGAGCAAGTTTTGAAGAACTTATTCAATAAAGGGCTGAAGGAATATGGTTATCAAGAAACTTCGCTGCAAATTATATTTTACAAAACCGACAATACATCGCAGAAGTAAGTCTGTAACACTTCTATAGTTCATGACAATCTGTAAATTGTTTAGGCAGGTGGGTTCATATTTGTGGGCATTTAATGTGGTTTCTTGTAACTAAACTTGGAGAATGCTCTTCTAGAAAAAGAATGGAAAATGGAGAGAGAGAAAACCAGTACCTAGATGTAAAGTTGTCCTTCATTCATGTAGATTTTGCTGAATGAAGAACTTAATTTATCTTGTTGCACTCATTTTTCTTGAGCACTTAGTTGCATTAGATGAACAAGCATTAGAAATCTGACTGTTGTCAGGGGAATTGACTTTTAGAATAGCAAAAACATGATCACTTTCTTCTCTTGTAAATGTGAATAATATGCTCCATTCAATTATTTTTCTTTGTTTGATTGAGACACATGTCCACTTGATGAACGGGGGTACATAAATTGTGCTCACGGCAGAACTTGATTCGGTTAGGAAACTGAAATTCAAGGAAAATACATCTCTATATGGTTATGTGTAATTTTGTCAAGGTGCAGATAAATATGTGTTGGGCTATCGATGACAATAACCATGAAGGAATTTGAATTTGTTTTTCAGGCTACTGCATGAGAGGAGGGTAAACAGATTATTCAGCTCCAAAAGTGTTCACTAGCTCATGCAGTGTTGCTTCAAACATTGAGATCAACCTGTTATGGACTTTGAAGGTGGTAATAGCCTTACTTGCGCGATTGATCCCAGTGAGCAGTGGCTTATACTGTTCAGCCTCGAGGAGAAGCATTTGTATACTTGGGAACTTTAAGGTTGTGAGACATTGCTTTTTGTGCCTTATGTTTCAAATTAAAGGGGTGAAGAAATGGAAAGATAAACAAAGGTGATTAAGTGGTCTGTCCAAGGTTCATAATGATCAACTGTGTACTGTAATAGCTAATATGGTTTGGAATTTGATTGTGAAATGTGAACTGTACAGTCCTGATGTTCACATTAAGCTTCTTGTCAGATATATTTCAAGTTCAATGGTTGAAGGGTATGCATCGGGAAATATCTTGACAATGAATCGTCTCATCTCAACCATAGGTTTCTTTAATTGATGGGTTTAACAAACATATTGAAAATTTTTAAATATAGTTAATTTTTAAATATTTTTTTTAAAATCATATCAAAAATTTATTTTTCGATAATATAAACATATCCCGACTTTGATATGATCATTATTACTTCAGTGGCAGGCCGATGGTTGGCTTAATGTTGTTGTGAGCTTGGATGATGACTAGGATGTACTTTTTTTGTTTGAAAGTAACTAAGGTGTATTGTTAGCATACCAAAAGAAATTAATAGGTTTATATTGTTCAGTTTTCATCCAGTCTGTTTGTGAAATAGCCTAGCTGCATTAGGAAATGCAGAATTAGTACTTTAGTAGGACCACTCTACTCTCTAGACACTGTAGAAACTATACATCATCTCTATGTGCATGCATTTATATGCACTTCTGCTACATCAGTAGTACTGATTAATATACCAATCAAATATAAAACAACAAATTAAAGTACATGAGTTGTCACTGCCCTCTCTGAATCTCTAGTACATGTACGTCTTTATTTGGGACAGGTTCTTTGACTGAAAAAAGTTTGTTTAAATTATGATACTTTTAATTATTTACAAATCACATATAACGCACGCATAAACTTAACTGTTCTTATAAGGGTCCAACTTGAAACTCTTTTTTCTTCGATGGGCCATTCATTAAGTTGGCCTCGAGAGATTGCAAATTGCAGTGATATCTAACCTCAACGAGTAGATCAAGTGCTAATAGGAAAGATATTTAAATTTAGATATTTTAAGTTTAAATTTTGATAATTCTTTTGGATCAGGATATATGAGAAATTTATCTCTTATTAAAATATTTTAATTTTTACGTAAATGATCTGTTTTTACCAGATCAGGGAGGAAATTAATCGAGAGAAAATTAGTCGAGATGTACGTAAATTAATTCGAACACTCCTGACCGTTGAACTAAAAAAAATAATGTTCAAAATGACTTATAAAGATTAAATATCAAAGAAAAACATAACGGAGAAGCTCTATAACAACGATTAAAGATCAAAGAAAAATATAACAAAGAAGTTCAAGCTCTTAAGCCACGTTAAAAAAGAAAAAATTTAGAAATTTGGATTCAAATCTCGATAGACTCATTCATTCAAAAGATCGTATAAATTTTGGTTGTAATGTTTTGGATTTTGTAGTAGTATTACTTTTTAAAAAAATACGTTATGTGGAAATTTTTTATATATAATTATTTTTGAAATTAAAATTATTTTTAATGATTAATTATAAATAAATTATTTAAATTTAAGTGTGGTACCGACTTGATATCATCACCTTATCCTCTGAGCCTAGGAGATATTCCGTCCGAAAAAGACAGTTATGGTTCAGCGGCGTGACATGATATGACCAAACACGCAAAGGACATGAACTGTCGTTCAACGAAAGCAAGAAAAGTTAGGACCTCTTCTTAAACCCAACACAATTTCAACATGTGACCAAAGCCTCACTGTTACCTCACCAATAATCATTATCAAGAATTTCCGAAATAGAACACTTTCCTACACTACAAAAGGATTTGTCCATGATACCGAAAAGTAAAATTTCAATATTATATCGATTTTTATTATATTTACGAATATTTTTAAAATCATTATAATATTAAAAAAAAATTATCAAAATAATGATAAAAACATTCACAAAATTAATGTGATAAATTACTCACAAATGTGATAAATTTTTTTTATATATTATAGAAAAGTTGTAAAAATAGTTATTACAACAGTGATAAAATATTTAAAACAGTAATAAAAATATTCATAAATGTGAAAAATTATTCACAAAAATAATATTTTTTTATTATAAAATGATCCACAAAAATTATAAAAAATATCTATTAAAGTAGTAAAATTTAGATGTACGGTACCAAAATTTTTTCTTTCATACCGTAGTTAAGTCCTTTACGAAAATATTTATAAACAATGCTATGCTTATCAAATTATTTACCAAATTATATATCTCAAATCAATTAAAATATTTATGAGCAATGTTATGCTTTATCAAATTATTTATTAACTTTTGTATTCCAAATCAGTGTGAGTGGTTAGATTAGTGGGATCCACAAATTTCACTAAATATTCAATGCATAAGATTTTATACATCATTTTGGACACAAGATTTGATAAACAAATTTGAACAATATAATTTTATCCAATATTTAAATGATCTCAACTGTTTATACTTTGTAGGGACAATGTTAGTGATGCGTAAGAGATGAGTAATGTTATACTTATTAAATTTTTATCTTAAATAATATAATATGATATTTTATAATTAAATAAGTGAGTCTCATTAATATTTAATGATAAAAATTGTATTACATCCTTTGAAATAAAATATTTAGTAAAAACATAGTTGGTTATGAAAGAGGCGTGAGAGATAGAGATAAAAGGTAATGGAAAAATTAAAGTTTAACTTGGAAGTTAAATTTTAATAATTTTTTATTTTATCTTGAAAAAAAAAATTCTGATTGTTCTCCTATATTTAAAATTTATTGACTTGTAACTAATTATTAGTATAAGAAGTATATATCAAACTTCACCCTATGTTTTTTTTTTTGATAAAAATAGATTATTGTCTATTTATGATGGTGATATCTTACTATATTATAAAATAATTAAATTAGGTATGAGAGGTCTTGAGAAGATTTTCCTCCCTAAATGTTAATTTATTAGAATTTTAAAATATTTAATTAGTTCACTCCAATCAAAATATTACATGTGTCTTTTGTAACTACTCTTACTATTTTTTTAAAACTACTTCAAAATTAAAATTTTTAATTATATTAATTAATTATTTAAAAATATAAATAAATATTATTTTAATACTAATAAAATTTATCCAAAAATATTATAATAGCGAAAGTGATAATAAAAAAAGGTAATAAATTTTGTTCATCGTACGGATACCTATTACTATTTCATATAAAAAAAACATGATATGTGTTGGTCCACGTGTAAGGTTTTCGTTGACCAAACGTTTGTGCCCAAATCAATCGGGGCTGCTAAAACATATTCCACGAGTAAATATTGAATGTAGAGGTGATATCATATCACCATTGATAATATAGTATTATCTATTAATAATAAAATTTTAAATAGAAAAGGTGAATCCCACTTGGGCTTACATGGCAGGAGAGTAGGAAGTTATTTATTTACACGATAGATTAATTATTAATTTTTATGAGATTCATATATTTATTTATTATTAATTGATGATACCGCCGAATATTTTCTCATATTCCACGATCCCGTGAAGTCTAGTGATGTTACATTGCTGTAATGACGTGTTCAACTTCTCACCGTGTAAAGATATTATTCGGTATTTGACTACGGTATTTAAAAAAAAATTATATCATACCTCCAAATTTTATTTTTTATAATTTTTGTGTGTAATTTTATAATTAAAAAAATTATCACTTTTATAGATAATTTATCATATTTGTAAGTATTTTTATCACTGCTGTAGTAACTATTTTTACCACTTTTATTCGGTGTAAAAAATTACTATTTTTGTAGGTGATTTACCACAAATATGAGGGTTTTTATTACTATTGTTATAATTTTTTTAGGTACAAAAAAATTATCATTTTTATTTACGATTTGTTACATTTGTGAATATTTTTATTATTATTATATTAACTATTTTTACCATTTTTTTATACAAAAAAAATTATCATATTTATGGATGTTTGTGTATATTGAGACCCGATTTTATCAAATTTGTGAGTATTTGTATTAAATTGAACTAGAGTCAGGCTCCATTATCAAGTGTGTGTGTATATATATATATATATATATAATTTGGCAAGTTTAAATTTTTTACTTGAAATTTAATAGAAACTTGCATCCATTCAAGCTATACTGAATTGAAATGAAATTTAATTTCTTAGTAAAAGATTTAAAAAATAAATAAATCCTACAACTTGAGTAAAATTTGCAACAAAAAACCCTAAACATCTATGTAATCAATCAATAAATACAACCCCAACAATTCAAGTTTTTCAAAAATCTATCATACAAGGAGGAGGACTCCTATGGCTGGCAAGGCAAGCCTTGCCTTAAAATTTCCCAACTTTATTTTGGATGCATGGTGTTAGCCTCATAAAAGGAAAACAAGTTTATCGATCCAAACAATTTTTCTTCAACGTATTTAAAGTTGGTAAAAACCAACTTGGACTCTAATACCCCTATTCCCCAATTTTACTTGAACATATATATTAGATGTTCCGTCAAGATTAAGTTTCCATAAAGACCTAAAATTCAGATATTTTTAATCAAGTCCCCGAGGGCAGAATGATTGTTAATTTTTTGAACAATATTATTAACACTTAATACATTGTGATATTAAGTTTAATAGTGAATTTTAATATTTAATAAACTCTACTATTTATTCAATGGTCACAAACCATTGTGCCTTCACTAATTATATCTCAAATTAGATGGAATTAATATTATTATTAGCTTTTAGACACACTTTAGACATGTTCGAATATTTTTGGAACATATTGAGATTATTTTATATATTTTTTTAAATTTTAGGGTTATTTCGTTATTGAATAAAAATGTGTGTCGTTTATGTAGTAAATAATAGAATTATAAATGAAAATTTGTTACTATAATTTTATATATAAAAGAAATATTATTAATAAAATTGATTTGTAACTCTTTCAAATAATAAAAGCATATCAATGTCAATTCTAAAGCTCCGTTTGGGAGGATGATGGAAAATAGGAAAGATGGAAAATAAGAATTATACACTTTCCATCATTCAAGGAAGAAAAATAAGAATGATACACTTTTTTTTCTTTGTGTTTGGTAAGATTGATGGAAAATAAAAATGACAATTTTTTTTTTTTTTGGTGATGGCTAAGATTAGGGGTGACAATCTAGTTGTCTCGTGTCAGATTCATGTTGAGTCATTACGGGTTTGTGTCGAACATTAGTCAAACTTAACTCAACTCATTTAACTAATTATGCTGTGTGGAATT